CTGATATAGCTGATCTGGTGAATTAAGGATGAAGAAATATATAGGCTTCACAAGGAATGCGATCTCATTTGTCTGAGGCGGACAGGTGGTCCATAAAGGCTAGCTTGCAGAAGCAAGGCGGATCTGAGGGAGGAGAATGTGCGACCTGGTAGCTCGGCCAGTGCCCGCATGCTAACGCGGTACAAGAGATCGAGGAGGAGGCACGTAGACAGGTTGATCGCACACACGCAGAGCGCGGAGCAGGGCCGCGCGGTGAGCTTCCTGCGTTACTGCGAGGATGTCGCGAGGGTACCTGAGCTGGGCCGCTAGCATGCGAACTGGCAAGCTATACACATGTCACGAATTAATGAAAGAGAGCGCAGACGTGCCAGCAGCTGAGGCCGGGCAGGTAAGCTTAGGTCTTACACGCAAAAAGAATTGCGAAGACGTTTGTGTTCCACAATCGGACTAGTAGAATGTTGCATTTATTGTCAACAAACTCTCCCAATTCATGCATCGACCTACAACTACTCGCTAGATTGCTACCAAATTAATTATTCACGATCTTAGTGCAACCATACATCGTGGGCAATTTCATAGACGTCACTAAATGGATACTTTGATATAGATTGTGCAAGTAATATTGTCAAGTGAAACTCCACAAATGCCTATGTTATTTTTATCATAATCTTATCTCCTTGAGCTCTAGGGAAACACTAGGTAAATGCTCATTCTTCCACTGAAATTGAATATCTTGTTATTACCTCCACCATGGCAGAAATTTATTCATTATAATATATTCTTCATGAACTCAATGTCCGCAGTCTACTGTGATAATATGAGTGCTACCTACATTTGTGTCAATCTTGTATTCCACTCATATGTGAAGCATATTATTCTTCACTTTCATTTCATTTGGAAAAAAATGCAAAATGAAGAAATTCATGACTCTCATGTTTCCTCAAATGACTATGAATTCACTAAGCCACCATCTCACACACCCCTCAATTAATTTCATATCAAGATTATTATTCTCTCACAAGACTATGCCTTAAGGGGACATATTGGGGAAACAAATAATTAGCTTACCTTTTGTATTTTCTTCATTTTTTATCTTCACATAAAATTGCTATTTATTATTGTTGTTAATGCACTTTTTTTTTTCTTATGCTAGCATGTATCTATAAATATTATACAAAATGTATAATATTGTTGTGAATTTTTGGAGGAAGATAAGCTTTGCGAATGGCTACACCGCAGGAGAGAGGGAGAAAGAGAGTACTCACAGATTTTGGAGAGAAAATAGAACAAATCTTTATTCTTTAACCCTCACCAAAAAAAATACAAGCCCCCTATTTATAAATCCATTCCTATAAGAGGGACTAAACTTGCTCACTAAAACTAAAATAAAAAAATAGAAACTATTTACAAATTAGATCAAATGCTAACAAAATATAAAATAAACTTTCACAAACTCTCTTCTTCTATATTATCTCGAGTTGATTCACGATCGTTCAATATTATTTATGATCATAAATAAATTGAACAACTAGCTATGCAAATTCATTAATTTATCAATCAAATATTTATGAAAGTATTTAAATATATTCAATTGATTTATTAAGTAATCATAAGTAAACAAGAATCATGGCACTAATTGAATACTAACAAAACTCAGAAATAAAAAAGAATTGATCCTGACGGCCCAAAAAAATATTCAAGCCTCCTACAAAGCTATACTCCATAGGCCAATAAGGCAATAATTCACCCACCTACTCCTTTGTCCATAAAGAGAGTTTGGTATGAGATCAACTAATGAGAGCTCCACCATGAAAAGAATTTGTGGCTTAATAATTGACTTTTAATATCAAGACTTTTTCTCACATATTATATATATATATATATATATATAATGCCCTAACATCATGTGATAAAATTTATTTAATATTGATTTTATTGATAGGTTTTTGAAATTTATTATCAGTATATTCACATTAAATTCTCAAATTTCTATTTTAATAGTCAATATTTTGGAATAAGAATAATGATAGGTCACCAAAAAATCGCCATGGTCAAGCATGAATCTCAAGCCATATTCAAGTTCACAACTTCCAAGATTAATTTAGGGACCATCAAAACACAAACTTTAAGAAACTTATGGTCAAATTGAACATCCCAAGGAGACACCCAATAACATCAAAATTGGTCCAATCTGAGCCTAAATGGGTCCAAAGCAAGGGATTAAAGCATATTTGAAAGCTTTAAAGTATAAATTGAATGATTAAGTAATCTTCAAATTTGGCATGGTTATAGTCAAATCGAGCGGCTCAACGAAACAAATCCAACGAGCCCAAGATCGCTTAATTTTGACATAATTAAGGCACTTAAATGCAGCATGAACACCTTATGATTGAAGAAACTGATATGGGCAGTCTGATGGAGCATTCTGAATTTGCTTTTGATCTTCTACATATTTATGAAGTATGTCAATCTAAAATATCTATAAATAAATCATCCATTCCCACATAAAAGGGGGCTTAGACCATTGGAAGCTATGACCTTGGGCTAGAGATCAATAAAGCTAAAAGACTTGAAGAATCATGGAGCTCCATCTCGGCACCACCGCTGACAAATCCAATCCGTCTAACCACTACTACTGAACCTTCGCCCAACCATCATTTTCA